CAAAAATGAAAATAAACAAATGGAACTGTATCAAGCTAAAACGTTTCTACACCGTGAAAAAGAAAATATCGACAAAATGAAAAGGCAACCTACTGGAAGAGAGGCTATTCACAAATCATGTATCAGATAAACAGTTAATATCCAAAATATAGAGCACTCATACAACTTAACTAAAACTAGTCTGGTTTAAAAATGGATCTGAACATTTTTCCGAAGAAATCAAATGACTGAGACATGAAAAGGTATTCAACATCAATAATCATCAGGGAAATCACATCTGTCAGAATGACTGTCATTAAAAAAAAAAAAGACATGTTGGTGAAGAAGTGGAGAAAAGGTAGCCCTTGTATATTGTTGATGGGAATGTTAATTGATGCAGTCATTATTAAAAAACAGTATTTTTCCTGAAAAAAAAATTAAAAATACAACTATATGATCCAACTATTCCACTTTTGAGTACTTATCTGAAGAAAATCAAATCAGTAATTTGGAAAAATATATGCATCCCTATGTTAATTGCAGAATTATTTCCAATAGCCAAGATATAAAAACCACCTAAGTGTCCATTGACAGATGAATGGATAAAGATGTTTAGATAGATGAATGGATAAAGATGTGTAGACTCATGCATTACTTAATGTCATTTTAGTCGGCAATGGATGGCACATACTATGGTGGTCCATATAAGCTGTAACATCTGACTTCTGTGTGTATTAGGCTGTGTCATCCAAGTTTGTGTAGTTATCCTCTATGACTTTCACATGACAAAAATCACTTAACAGAATCACCTAATGACATTTTGCTCAAAATACATCACTGTTATTAAATGATGTGTATCTATGTATGTAGTGGAATACTATGCAACCATAAAAAGGAAACCTTACAATGCCATGGATGGACCTTGAGGGTATTATAGTAAGTGAAATAAGTGAGACAGGGAAAAACAAATACCTTGTGGTTTCACTTATGTATAGAATCTTACAAACTAAACAAATAAAAGTAGTCTTAGATTCAGAGATTAGACTGGTGCTTACCAAAAAGGAAAGGTGTTGGGAGATGAGTGTAATAGATGAATAGGATCTAGAGATATACATTTTCAGTTTTAAAAATAAGTAAGTCATGGAGATACAGGGTACAGCCTGAGGTTCATGGACAATAACACAGTATTGCAAATTTGAAAAATTGCTAAAAATAAATGGGAAATCCTTATTGTGGTGACATTCTGCATTGTGCGGGAATATCAAATTACTATATTATACTCCAGAAAACTAATACAATGTATGTCAATTATACTTCAATTTTTAAAAGACAAAGATTGTTAGGCTAACAACAAAACAAAATATTGCTGTATACAAGGCATTCCTTGTATATTCAATACATGAGAATACAGAAAAGTTGAAAGAAAAAGTAGAAAGTTTTATAGATAGACTAATGCTAACGCAGAGAAGGCTGGAAAAACTATTTTAGTATCAGACAAGGTAAAATGCATTTACTACAGAATCTCTGCATATCAATGAAACTGAAGTTACTAGAAAAATACAGACCTTTTAATACAATTCTGTGCATCAAATATATAAAATTCAAAAAGGGCAATCAGATACACAAAGAACTTAATTATGCCATCGCAGATTTTACATGTCTTTCTTAATAAAACATTAAGTAAAAAGTTCATTAAGGATAAAGAAGATTTTAACAACAGTTAACTGGCAACACTCCTAAAGAGAATTCTCATTCTTTTGACTGTACATGGAACACTTACAAAAATTTGACTGTGTCCAAAAAGAAAATCTCAACAGCTACATAGACTGTATGCTCTGACCGTGATGCAATTTAAAAAAAAAAAAAGAACTTTTAACTAACCTTCCCTATATATTTGGAAACAATTTTTTTTCATAACTCAGGAATCACTAGAATTTGTATTTTAATTTTTTGAAGGGTGGTTATATCAATAGAGATATTATGGCAATTGTATTAGAGCAGTTCTTCTACCAAACTAATTGAGTTTAGGCTGCCCTGTCTTGCTATTCCAGAACTTTTTGAAATTCCAGAACTTGTTTCATTGTTTAAAAATAATCTCTCCATAAGTACATGTGGATGCTAATTTCAAAAACAGATTCACAAAATCTTTCCTACCTGAGAAAATTTTCTAAATAATATATTTCAAAATCATGTCTACTACTTTATAGCAAGTTAAATAATGACAAATAATTTATAGAATGATGGAAACAAGGGAGAAACAATTTCCTGGAAGAATAAAATTTCAGCAAAAGAAAGTTTTCATAGAGCTAGCTAAATTAGCCTAATAAAGAACCTAAAAGGAAAACTAGGAGGCTTGAAAGCAGAAATTATCTTAAATCCTTCATAACAGTGAGTGAAATTACTATTTATGTGCACATCTCAAAATTTTGACTATTTTAAAAATATAGGGTAGGAATAGCAGAAAAGATTCCTCAAAGAATTTTTTATATTAAAATGTCAGAAAAAAACTGAAATAAATAAGATTATAAGGTAGAGATAACAGTGTTATTTATACCTAGAGAATCTAAAGACTAAAACAATAATAAAACTAATTAGGAGATTTGGTTAAATGACTGTATTCAAAAAGAAAATCTGTAGAGCATTAGCTTTGCTTCTTAACAGCAGTAATTGGACACACACAAACACCCCATAGAGGATGTTTATTGCAACTTTTTTACAAATAGGAAAAATGTAGCTGTAACCTGAGGGAAATGGTTGAATAAGTTAGAAGTCCAATAATATGCAATTTTCAAAACAAGTGAATTATATCCTTATGTATTATATCCCTTATGTACATATCCTTATGTATGTATCCTATATCCTTATGTATAGAAAAATACTCATGAAATATGTTTGAGTAGAAAAAAATTATCAGAAAAATGTATATGCTATAATCTCATTTTCACTGAGAAAGAGCAGGAAGATTCACTAAATCTGTTAATCAGGTTCACTTCAAGATATTATCTCTACTTATATCCACTTAATACCAATGTGAGTACCTACAATAAAATATCCTGCAACGAAAGTAAAAGCAAGAAGATAAACCCAAAGCATAACAAAGTGGGGAAAAAGTAAAACATCATCTTTTGTTAAAAAAAATCATAGTGCAAAAGGAAAAAAGCAAACCCATAAAATCTCTTATCTTGAATGAGCAATGCCAGATGCTAAAAAAACAGATTTTTTAAATTTTAGAAAGAATGCATTATAATTTTGGTATCATGGATTACTTAAAAATATTGGTGGAAGCAGAAATTCAGTAGTAATGTGTAAAATCCAGTTTTTAAAAGTGAAAACCAAAGAAAGGCAGTGCAAGAAAAAGTTATTGACCTAGAAAACAGACTTGGAGACCTAAGCCATTCACTCTAAGAAAGCTAGTGGCAGCAGGTCTTAAACATGAAAATTCATAGACAATGATGTAATGCAACAGAACTAGCAAAAAAAGTGGCTCTCACACCCTGCTCCTCCCTCTTCCTTCGCCAGCCCACTCCTCTAACAGTCATCACTAATCTAGCACAGCTCTCTTCCTCCGAGCCAAGCTAAAGCTTTAGAAGTTCCCCTAACCTGGCACTTCAGGGAGCCTCTGCCAGGGGCATAGCTGCAGTGTAAGATAAAAACAACTTCTCATGTACTTCTCCATAAGAAGACCCAAGATAAGGATTCACAGTCTGAAAGTGGCAAAGATACACAAGGTCTCTTTAAAGTTTAACATTCAAGAAGATGTTTAGATATAAGGAGCTTGTTAAACTCCTGAACTTTAGAAATAAGGGATGATGGCTTCAAGCCATCATAGACAAGAATAGCTTGAAGTCATCCTTTCGAAGTGCTGCAAAGAATTCTTAGATCCACAGAATTTGGAGAAACTCTCCAGTGGATAATCTTATTTTAAAGAAGATTTGGATAAGCTGGAACTACTCAAAACTAAAATAAATTATGGAAGCAATAGGGAGGGCATTGATATATTGTGAAATTTAATTTGTATGGCAGCCCTTAAAAAATGAGGAGAAAAGACATCTTCAACATGTGTCAGAGTGTCAGCTCTGTCAGTCCTGAGTGAGCCATGGGAGTGGATTAGGGGGATCTAGGGACTAGCCATTAGAGAATCCAGAGTTATTCTCTATACTAAAGATATGAATTTAGACTAAAAAATGATTAAACTGTATTTTGCCTTTAAGTATTAAGGGGCTATGCTATTGCCTATAAGAAGTGGTGGTTTTAAAACACAGCATTACACAAGTGCCTCTCAAAAAGAAAAGAGCACTTCAATTAAACTGTTACCCAATGCTTTCTTACTGCTTAGAGGGACTTTTATAAAGTGTTCTTAAAGGCTTGTTAGTGACCACATTATAAAGAGATACGATCAAGTGATAACTCTTACATCTTCCACCCGCCAGAAGGACTTGTAGAAGGTCATCAATTTTATAACACAACAGAATTTCGGGGATGTGTTTAAAAAAAAAAGTGATGAATTGGGAAATATCAAGTAAGTTACCTTCCAGGTGGGTTTCGAAGGGAAGAAGCTCTTAGAACAGAAAAATATGATTCTGCTTGGCACCTATTATATTACAAGAATGTACAAAATGCCTTCAGGAAGGACTGACTTAGTGCTCTGGGCAAGCATAGAAGGCTCTCCAGTTAGGACACAGAGGTGTCCCTGGAGAAGGCAGAATTGAACGGAAGAGGGGTAACGCCACAGTGATGGAAAACACAAAACACAGGCTGAGTTAATTGCTCCCTTCTATGGTTCTAGGATCTTATAAATTGGGGAATCAAGGCACCATCACATGATTTTCACAATACTGGTGCCACCAGTGCCACCATCAGACAGGGAGAGCAGTGTTCCCTCACATAGTAGGTGCTCAACATATATTTGTTGAATGAGGGAGGGAGTAAATATGTAAATGTATGTGAATATGTGTGAGGGAATGAATGAATGAGTCATGTGGCTGAAGGTAACAGCTGTACTCTCTTTTGTACCACCCCAGAGAAACTTGAGAGCGAGAAGCTGAACGTTGCTGAGGTCACCCAGTCAGAGATTGCGCAGAAGCAAAAGCTGCAGACAGTCCTGGAGAAGATCAATGAAACCCTCAAACTCCCTCCCAGGAGCATCAAGTGGAACGTGGACTGTGAGTGTGACAAAGGAAAATGGAACTGTTAAATGATCCCACCATGGGGGTTCCCCCGGAAGACATCCAGTAAACTGGGCAGCCCTCGTGGGTGCAAACCTATTGATTTCTGAGCAAGGCATGCCCTTAGAGAACTTACACATACACACCACTGGGAAAGGTAACAACATGTCAGAGTCCAGTGTGCTATTCTGTAAGATTTTCTGTGCAAACCTCACCTGAGATTGGATGGGAAAGGAAACTTCCATTTATCTGAGTCCCAACACAACCTATTCAGACAGCTGTAGTCTCCAGCTTGGAGAGTCCTAGGGTGGTGGGGATCCTCAGGGGCATACAAGTAAGAAGCAGGGAGCAAGGCCTTGACTCTGTTCCAAACTCCAGGCCCTACCTCTCATCTCATTTTCCAGAAGAAGCAGAGGTATGACTCAGATTGTAGGCATGGAACAGAATTTTAAAATTCAGCCTTCACACCTATTATAACCCAGATCTCAGAAAGTATAAACCATTCATGCTTTTACTTCTTTGAGAGCCTAAGTGTCTAATACAGACTTAACAAGTCCATATCAGAATCAATATGAAATCAGCAGGTCATGTGAATCCAGTACCAACAGCACATTTCCTTTTGGGAGTTCAAGGTGATTTCGTTCTTTGTAATAGATAAAAATGACCTTAGATTGTGTTTTAAGTGTAAGGGGTTAAGTACTATGCCTATGACATCCACCTTAGACAACTTAAATCAACAGGAACTCTGCCATCAAAAACACAATACTGGGCTTCCCCAGTGGCTCAGCAGGTTGAGTGCAGTGCTGTGAAGCTGTCCACAGCCTGTGCAGTGCAGGTTCGATTCCCGGCCCGCTAGGGAGATTCCCAAATGGCACAGCAGACCTCTCCTGATCGCCCCTCAGCAGTGTATTTTGGTCCATCTGCCTGTTCTGCTCCCCACTCTCTCTCTTGTGAATCCTCTCACCCTCCCACGCCTCTGGCCTGTACCCCAGCTCTTGCATAAAAATAAATCTTAAAAACAAAAAAAACAAACAAACAAAAAACACAATACCTCTCAAACTTGGGAAAGAAAAAGGAACCTTCACCTCTCAACTTAGAGAGTTGGCAGCTGCCAGTCACACCCTCCTCAGCAAGTTTCTAGCATCTGACTTGGGAATCATGTGGCCAAGTACCCCCTTCAGCATAATTGCACCTTTGCTTGCAGAGTAAAGCAAGTTGCCCTGCACGGTGGCCAGCTCTCGGAATGGGCACTACTTGCCAAGCACAGGGAGATTCCTGAGGCAGGAGGAGGGGCCCTAGGTGCTATTCTGTGTGCCAGGAATGCTGAGAAGCCTTCAGTGGGGGAGGGGGATATGGCTAGCTCACTAATTTGGGAAATGCATCTGTATTTTGGAAATTCACAGTAGTCATAAGCATTAAAATCCTCTGATATGACCCCTGCTTGGTTTCCTTTGGTCCTATTTCCTACTCCTTTGAATGTGACCATCTCCACGAATACCTCTAAATTATTGAAAGGTGTTTTACCTTTCAACTGATCAGGGAACCCAATTTGGGAAGGCTGAGATCACAGAGTGAAATGTTTTAAAGTCACATCAGAGCCAGTATCTTCTGTGGCTTTGAATGACTTGTTTGGTTCATGTTTACTTTCCCTTCTTACAGGAAATGTATAAAATCATCCCTCATATTACCACTCTTGACTATTTTCATTTTTTGCCCATTTTTGCTGTCCATATCAATGCGTATTCTTACTTGATGAAGGCATATACACTCTTTTTTGTTGCTTTTTCTTGTATCATATCTATTCTCTGAAGTCCCTGGGGTCTTTGGTGTTATGATTTTTGATCACTGCTTCTATTTCGTGGGGTAGATTATCCCAGAGGTAACTTAGCCCTATGTTGATGCTGATTCTTTTTAAAATCTTTTCCAGCCTGTTGCTAATCTCAGATAGTGCCAACTTGAAGGTACTACCTCGGTTGTGTCTCTTTTTGCTTCTCTTGAATTACTTCTAGAACCGAGAAGAATTACTGTGTCTGAGGGAATAATTATCTCGGTGGCTAGCTCCCTGCGGCCTGTTTACAAGTTCCAGTGGTTTCTTCCACAAGGAATGTGGCAGGCACAACTCCTGGGGCAAAACAGCCCCTCCTCTCTGCTATCTTCCTGGCTGTTTCTGAGACTGTTATCTTTCCATTCAGGATAAAGGTGGCAGGGAGAGTTGCTGAATTAAGTCACAATAATTTATATTATTGAAAATTTAGAAAATAAATGAAATTATTAATATCTAACATATTCATGGTGCTTACTGTATGCCTTGTACTCTTCTAAATGACTTACATATTTGGAGCTTGTAATCCTCACTCAACCAGCCAAGTAAGAATTCTGTTACTCCATTTTACACATGAGAAAATCGAGGATAAGGAACACAGAGTGAAAGCTTGGTGAGGGCAAGAATTTTTATCTCCCAGAATCTGGAAAAGTGGTTGGCACATACTAGGCACAATAATGTCTGCGGAAGGAGTGTCCTTGTCCAAGGCCACGCAGGTGGTGAATGATGGAGGTGGGGATGAGACCCAGAGAGTTCAATTATACAGCCTGTACGCCAAGCCTATGTGCTTGGCCCCATGAGCCATGCACCCAGAGACAGGCATTCTCAGCCTTACTATGTGTCCCAGCATATGTGTGTGTGTGTGTGTGTGTGTGTGTGTGTGTAAGAGATAAGTAAACGTGCATATACTCTATTTTTTACAAGAATGAGATCTATCTGTATATGTTGTTTAGAAAACTTAAAATATCTAATGATCTTTAAAGGTTTATGTCATTTTTTAATATTAATGTGACAGTATATGGTTGTGTTACAATTTATTTCACTGATGAATTTTGAGATTGCTTTTCACTTTTTTCACTGATATCAATACAGCCTGATAAACTCCCCTCTACTCATAGCTGTAGCTGTCAGTACTTCTTTAGGAGAAACACCTAGAAATGGTTTTCGACAAAGGATATGTACATTTTTAAGGTCACCAGCTATATTGTCAAATTGCCTCCCCCCAAAATATCAATGTATAGTTTCACCACAAGACATGTTTGGAGACTATTTCTAGCAGCAACTTGAAAATGATTTTTCCAGCCCTGAAGTAACACTGTTGGCACAGCAGCTTTGGGTCCCAGTTTGTATAGTGGAACCCTGGCTCTACCCTGACTCTGCACATATCCATTCTGACTTGAGTACAGGAACACAGCGGCACTGCATTCTGACTAGCTTCAAGGAGAAAACTCCCAGGAGGCATTGCTGAAAGATGGCAATGATGAGAGTGCCCTGTTAGAATTTTTCACTGAAGAAATGGCATCATTTTATTGTAAGGATTTTGAACTAGAAAAAAATCCAAGTATATTTCCACTCTAGCAAAACTACTTTCATATTCCTTTCCAAGTCTTAGCCTCAGTACATGCATGTTTGCATGTATGTGTGAATTCATGTGTGTATATGTGTGTTCATGTCTGTATTTCCATGTGTGTATATCCATAGGTGTATGGATTACATTGTTTCTGTTATTTCTCTTTAACACTGTAATAGTAATAATTTATAGCTACAGTGTCTGAAAAGTGATAGTCATGGCATGCAAGTATTCCATTATGTGCATATACCATAATTTATTCAAGTAATGCCTACTAAGCTATACTTGACCCAGCCTTGGCCCAAGGAAAAACTCAGGTGCCATTGAAGAGAGGAGCCTGGAGTAGAGGGGAGGGGAGGGGAGGGGAAAAGAGGGGAGAGGAGGGAAGGGAGTTGTGGCCTTTTCATCTGTTTGGCCTAACAGCTTTTAGAACAAAGGGTTCTCTGGTTAATAAAAAAAATATTTGAAAGCTGCAGGTCTAAACCATCCTCTTGGACATAACTATTTTCTAAATTTTTTAAATGATAGTGCATGATGTAATAATTAACATCTTTATACATGTAGCATGTGTGTGTCTGTGAGAGATTGAAATTACTGCTTTTGCAAAGCTTACCAGGACAGAGCACTCCCTGAAGGAGCCTGGCATCTGCTGTGATAGAACTCTGACTCTCCTGCAGATAACCAAGGCAGCACACCATGTCACTGGAGACGAAGGACAACCTTTGTGTCCTGCATTATGTTTTGTCATTAAAAGGGGAGACGTAGCAGAAGTCCTTACAACCCTCAGTGACTGGATGGTGTGGCATTTCTGATAAGCGCAAACCTGGATTTTACTTCTGTCCAACAGTGAGCACAGCATGTCAGGGGATTTGGTCCCATGTCAAGGCCCTTTTTTGAAACTGCCTGTGGGTACTTAGTTGACAATGCCCAGAACTGAGAACTTCTGGAAGGCTAGCAGCCAGGAGCGGCTCATCTGCTGTTTGATGGTGGTCTTTGAGCCACTGTTCATACTCAGTGGAAACCCATCTTTGAAGTAGCAGTGATAATAAGAAACTCTAATGAGTTCCCAAGCAATGCCTGAATCATTTCCTTTTCCTGGTGATTTCTCAAAGCTTCTGTTTGAACAGACTCCTCAATCCCAGGGCAGAAAGAATCACACCCCAGTAATGGGGCCAGTTCATACTAAAATGGGCATTTTTTTTTTAAATACCCCCTGTAATGAAAAGCCACGAGGCTGATCAGGCTATGAAGGCAGGCAAAGCATTTGACAAATCTTTTCTTTTATGGGAAAAGAAGGGGTAAAGTTGATCTATCTAATTGCCTAAGTGTCAGATCCCCTCTCATAAATTAGAACAAAAGACATCAACCATTGCAAGGGATCTGTTTGTGCTTGGAGCTTTGCTTATGCTGTCTCTGGATATTCTTTTTTTTTTTTAATTTATTTATTTGTTTGTTTATTTATTTATACAAGCACTGGGTACAGTCAGAAGTGCGGGAGGGTGAGAGAATTCACCAGAGCCAGAGTGGGGAGCAGAGCAGGCAGAAGGACCGAAGTACACTGCTGGGGGGAGCAGCGGGCGGCAGGAGAGGTCTGCGCGCCATGTGGGACCCTCCTCCGGTGGCTGGGGAGCAGCCAGGTATCGAACCTGAAGGCAGAGGCTGCGGGCAGCTTCGCAACCCAGCGCTCAACCGCTGCGCCACTGGGGAGGCTCTGGATATTCTTAAAATCGTACTTCCACATAGGTACTGAAAATGAATAGACTGTAGCTCAGAGGCCTTGAGTGACCTCCCCAAGGTCATGCAGGCAATAAATGAATGGTACAGTTGTCACGTCAGATCTCCAGCTCCCGTCTGCCTGAGCAGTGTGCACCCCATCAGGCTTCATTCCCTCTCATGTCCTGAGAAAACCACACCCCAACACTTGCCCTGCCTCCTCTTGCATGTTGCTCAGCAGATATAGAAGTCCACTGGGTCATATTCATCCTCTCCCAGCTATTCTTTAAGTGGCAAAGAGCAGCAAAGGCCTATATGTCTCTTTAGATGTCTCTCCTGACTTTCTCTAGGGATCCAATGTTCCTGACTCAGTGGCCATAATGGAGGGCCTGCTTTGTGTAGTCTCTGGATATGAGTAGTAGTGATGACCCCACAAGTTTACAGTTAAATAGGAAGGAGAGACACTGCAGAGCAGACACGCCCAGGGTTATTAGAATTGAGTAAGCAAGACCATGGAGTGGCTGAGCTCCGAATTCAGCAGATATGAGGGTTCTACTGGGAATGCTGGGTTAGAATGGAAGGCACTGTAAAGAAATCTAGACATAACATGATTCAAGAAGCTCTTTGGGACCTGGCCAAGAACTGAGGGAGCGCAGGGTGAGACCTGTAATGACCGAGGGTATTTTTTTTTTTAAGTTAATAAAAGAGGTATTGGATGTGGTACTGCTACATTTTAAATATCTACTTTTCTCTGCTTAGAACCTTGGAAGAAGATTCTCTAACTTTTACATCATCTTTTGTTTCAGCTGTTCACGCCAAGAGCCTGGTGGCCATCTTGCATCTGCTAGTTGCTCTGTCCCAGTATTTCCGGGCACCAATACGACTCCCAGACCATGTTTCCATCCAAGTGGTTGTGGTCCAGGTGAGCGATACCACAGGGATCTGTGCCCTAAAGAGGGGTGGAGGCTGGATCTCTGATAGCTTAGGCATGTGGGGTTTGCATGCTCCATGGTGAGGGGCAGATGAGTGAGCACCTGATGCTTGTGAGCGTCTCCCCGATAGGTGTGCAGAGGGGGGAGTTCTGTGTGCTTGTGTGGGGCATGTGCCCAGGATTTTCATCAAGCTGGTGTGTGTATAATGTATATTTGAGGGTCCGTAGTGGGAGCGGGAGGAAGATGAGCTGTGTGCACACACATGCACTCACGTACAGGTGTGTCCCACAAGCCATGGAGAAGCCTTCAGTAGTGAAAAAAAGTGATGCACAAGTAGTGAGAGGAGATACAGCTATGCTTGTGAGGGGGGGTGTGCACATTTATTTGAGAAAGACCCCAACTGCCTGTGCCTTTGCTGAGGGCACTGCCGCTTTTCACCCACCCAGAGATGCACAGCTGGCATCTCAAGTCATCCAGATTGTTGGATGGAATTTCCATTCGCATATGGCTGTGTAATTCCCACAATGAGGGTGTGCTCTCTCCCTGTGACTATCTACTCTGCTCCTAACCCCATTAGATACTCAAATTCAATTTAATTTTCCAACTTTATGCCTATTTAACTAAAGGTCATCATTTTGTTTGCTTGTTTCTGTTCTTTTCCAAATAAACACTCTGTAAGGGAGAACTCCCCTTATGAGCAGTTCCCTGGTTACCCAGGGTTATCCAGAGTTCTATGAAAGAGCACAGTATGGCAGCTCCATGGTGCCTTGGTGAGGAAGAGCCTTACGGGCTGGTAAGCTTTGACTGACTGGGTCAGGCCAGTGTCCAGGACAAGAGGTCTTTGAACTGAGCTTTCAGGGACCAGATGCTCATAGGAAGGAAAAGGACATGGGGTGCTCTTCAATTAGATGCTCGGTTGTACCCTATTTAAAAAGTATTTCTTTGACACCTTCTGGGCAGTTAATTTGCTAAATGTCAAGGGAGTTTAACAGGACTATGAAACCTTGGCCCTGCCTGCCAGGGGATCGGTCTACACATAAGCAGCAGAGTTGCAGTGTGCATGTGTGCAGTGCAGACATGAGGTGTAGCTGACTAAAAGGGACTAATTGGCCTCATTTGCTGAGCTCTCCACTGTGTCAAGCATGGTGCTAAGCATTTCATGTCTGCTATGGAAATGTGGCCAGCCCAGAGCATCCTTGTACAAGCATCTTCCCAGTGAATCCAGGCTATCTTTATTGTGTGTGTTTATCAATCAATAATGTGTGAATCTATTGTTATATTTTTTTTAACCATGATTCAAGCTTTGAGCAGGAGAGAAGAGGCTCCTATTCTGAAACAGTGGTCACTGCAAGCCCACTTCCCATGCCTCATTTGGAGCTCAATTACAAGCCATCAGAAGGCTGTTGCTGGTTTAATTTCTCCTGTAGGCAGTTTTGTTAGCATGCTGGAGAAAAGAGGACACATTGCATAAATCGGCATTTGCGCATGTCATCTTTTTATGGGTGTTTTGCTTTATCACTGTAAATAGGCACAAAAGCAGGACTAAGAATTGACCATGAGTCACTGAGCTAGAGTAAGAACTCTTTAGGAACTTAATAACGGATAGCAATAAATCTGGGTGCTGTATGAGAGATTGTTTGGCCCAGATTTCTCTTGCATTCTAGATAAGGAGAATTCTGCATGAAGTTGAAGATGAGCTTTCATGTCTGTGTATGACCTCACGAGGCAAGGACATAAATTCCATTAGCCCCGTGTGAAAATTTTACATGTGTTGAAGCTGAATTTGGAAAAAGTCAGAACTTATCCTCATTTGATTCCATTTAAATAGTATATTTTTTTCCTTTCCTTTTGTTTTGCTCTGATAGTCCATCCTTAATGTAATCCAGATAGCCTCTTGGCCTTTATCCAGTTCTACCTTCCCTTCTATTGAAAGTACTTTGCAAGGACACTAATTTCTGTGGCTGGTGGGAATGTGAAGAGAAGTTCTGGAAGTTTTGACAGGAGGTTAAAGAAGGCAGCTGAGACACCAGTGATTAGAGGCTCTTTCTTGAAGCTCATGTCAGGCTTTGTGGGACATGAATTTGCCCCCACAAGTGCTCACCATACCCCAAATTGTCCTCGATGTGTCCGGTAACTGACTATGAAGTGAGTTCATTGTGCCCATCAAAAGGTCTTCCTGAACCCTAAGATGCCTTCATTGGCTCCCCTTCCCTCACAGTGAGGCTTAAACTCCAAGCTGGCAGTCAGCTGACGTCCCATTCACTAATGGCAAACGCTTCCAAGCTGCCTCCTGAACACTTTCATGCTCTCCTGACACTAGCTTTTTGCTCAGGCCAGTCTTCCCACTGGAATAGCCAAATCCTCTGTGTCCTTTAAGTTCCAGCTCAAGGATCCCCTCCCTGCAAAAGGTTCCCCTAATCATCTCAGCTGAAAGTGCCTGCTCTTGCCTACATTCAGCACTTCCTCTCAGTGTGGGGGTGACCATATAATTTATCATCTATGACACTTTTGAGAGTGACAGGGGATCCTACAAGTCATAGCTGAGCCGGGACACCAGGCATAAACTAGGGCTGTTTGGAGGAAACCATCCTTATTCCCCTGCTTCATCTACCTCATTTTGCTCTAAATTCATCAAAGCCAGAAACTATTTCCTACATTTGCTCAAAGTCCAGCACAGGGTTTGTACATGGAAGGCACTGATTAATGAAATAAAGAGGATGAATTAATGGGAGGGTAGACAGAGGTCAGATGGACTGATGCAAAGATGCAGGGATGGATGGATGGTGGATGGGAAGCTAGGCAATTGTGCCTTAAAAGCGCTTTTCTCAGAGAATGAGTTAGTTACCCGAAGACTCCATGACTTATTTAAAATTTCCCACATTTACATATTAAAATAAAAGACAACTCTTCCCTCTGTTTGAATTCTCCAAGCTGGCCTCAGTTCCTCCTCCCCAGTCCACCAGTTAAATGTGTTTCTCAGCTTCCCTCTGTGGCCCCAGCTGGAGGGCAGACACACCCTGGCCTTCATTTCCATTTGGTTTACTGTGGATTACTCCAGGAGGCAAACAGTTTGCTTCCAGCAGAATGTCTTCCAATAAAGAAAGAAAAGATTCACCATCCAAGAAACAGCCTACTTGTTTGGACTAAGCACTAATTGCATGAAGCACAAATGGTTCAGTCCAGTCCCCAGCAAGCAGAGGCCATGGTTCACTTCTAACAGTATCTCATCTCTGGATTCATCTCTTAAACACCAGTAACCTTCTCAATATCAGGAATGCTAATCAGTTTTTTCTATTTTTCTGAAGCATATTTTTCTCTCCTCCTCCCAACCCTTTTCCCCACCCCTGTTTCAGAAACGAGAAGGAATCCTCCAGTCTCGGCAAATCCAAGAGGAAATAACTGGTAACACAGAGTATGTCAACACCATTGTTGCCAGCGATTCTGTAATGGAACACAGATGTTTCTCCGAAATTCATCCATTTGCTGATATTTAGTTTTCATTTATTGGGATTGCAAGAGGGATTAGACTTCAGCCAATGATTATAGTTTAGCCTTTTCCATGCATTCAAAACATGCCTCTCAATGCTTAAGGTACAAACTTGGGTGGGGAAGTGGGGAGAGGGAATTAGCAGTGATTGAAAATTCTAATTTTGTGGCACTCCAGGAAAAAGTGTGCCCAAAAAAGCCAACCAGCATGAAATCGTCATGCCATAAATATGGGGTTGAATCTAAATTGTTAACCTTCGAAAGGACGTTTTTCTTCCTTTTCTGAATCTGATTTATGTGGTCGGTCATGTGCCATGACCCAGAAAGTCCCTCTCTACCTTAGGGTGGTGGGATTTGTTTTGTTTGTTTGTTTTTTTCATTTACAGTAAGAAATTGGACTAGCAAAACACTAAGAGGTTTGCCCTGGGGAAGAGAAGTTTCATTCTTAAGCCAAAGAGCAGGATGGTGTGGGGGTTGGGCAGACCAGAGTCCTGGCCACGCACAAAACCAGCAAAGCTCATTTTCAGTCTCCCCTGCTCCCCCAGCTTTCCTCTGGGCACAGGTTCTCCTCACCCACTGAATAACTGAACCTCCCAGAGCTCGGCTTCTCTATCTGAAGCAGGGAGAACTGCCCATCTGCAACACACAGTGCCGGCACCTTCAAAGGGGCCCAGGAGTGTAGGCATTTCAGATCACGTGTAGGACAAAATGTGGTGGGGCCCCTCCCAAGATGCCCAGTTCCCCATCACAGCCCAACAGCACTGGAGGGCCAGCCTCCCTCCACAAAGCACTGGTTGTTGGCCTTGGTTCTACTGTGGGAGTCAAGCTGCCCCAGGCCAGGCCGCCAGGAAAGAATTCCTCACTGCCCTACCCCGCCCTGCCCCCTGGCCATTTGCTGGGCTTGTCCATACCCAGCAAAGTGGAAGACATACCTGAGAGGAGAGTGACCTTTGAGAAAACAGCCAGTCAGCGTGAAGTTTCAGTACGGAGCTGTCAATCAGGGCCCTGTTCTGCTCCCGGTGGTGTGTGTGCGCCCTCTGGCTCTGCTGTGGTGCCCCATAGACGTAAATGTGGATGCAGACTCCTAGTAATGTCAACACAATAGAGTTTATGAAGCACGTTTGTATGGGTTGCTATTCATCATAAAACATGAAGCAATGATTATATCTCCTAAAACCCACAGCTCAAAGGTGAGGACGATGGCTGTCCTAGGTCTATCCAACAGTTAACTCCAACTTCATTATCTTTGCAGTGCACAACCCATAACTGATCATTTAGTGGGTGATAGACATACAGTTGGAATAACCCAATATAATATGAACCAAAAATATATTGAGAAAAAATGAATTTACTGTATACTAGGAATTATGCAAATTTTTTTCTAGATATTAAGTCATTTAATGCTCACAACATCCCATTGATGTGTTTACTGTTATCATCTCCATTTTCCAGATAAGAGATCTGGAGCTCAGAGGGTCAGTTGCTTGCCCAATACCCAGGCAGCGAAATTCCATATGGAGACATATTGTAGATTCTGGTACTAAAACTTCATTGGAAATCTTGAGCCCTGAGTACAATTTTTCTTTCTAAGTGCCAACAATAGTGTGATTTTACTTAAGGAAGAACTATTCCTTTAAGTATCACTTATACCAGGCTTTACTCAAACACCATATATCTGCATAGCAGAGGAGGGAAGACAGATAGTAAAGACTCAATAATTGGAGATTTAGCACAGAATAAAATGCCAAAGAAGGAATATTTGGGGGCCTTTCAACCAAAGGCTAGGAGAGAAGAATCACACTGTTTTCTTTCTTCCTTTCCTGCAGGGCTCTTTCTGGAAGGCATGGTGAGTTGCATACAATTGTCCTCTAGTGCTGGTGACTGTTGGGGAGTATAGTTAATTCTGCAGCTGCTGGGAAGAACAGGCATTCTGCTTGCTTCCTGCATGTCTATCTGCACCAGCCTGGTGACCAGGCTACTTGGTAGGGAGGGCCAGCTTTCTGGTGGGAAGAGAAAACTAACCAGCTGCCTGCTCCTTTTGCATTTAAACAGACTATTGACATTGGGCTTCCTAATGGGCCCTGGGCTTTTGCAAGGCAGTCTTGCTCTGATTATATTGTGGTCCTAAAGGAAGAAGTCTGTGTACATGCTGGGGGACTGTTCCTTCTCCCCACTCTGTCCAGCTCTTCCAGAAACTATCCTCACCCTCTTTCTTCATCTCACCTGCCTCTCCCATTTCCCAAAGTTTGAGGCATGTTTATAAAATGTGTGAATGTCAGATCTCAATCACTTTCTGGAAGTCTTAGGCACCCTCAGTGTAGGAAAAGACAGGCTCCAAAACCATGAGCCCTTCCAGCCCCATATTCCACTTGAACACATCTCATACCCAGCCTCAGTTCCCCTCTACTGCTTCACCGCAATCTGGAGAGCATGGGGGTGTTAGTAGAAAAGCCCCTGCAAGGGAGCATGACTGCTATTTTCCATGACCCTGTATTTACTATGAATAATATTTTGAATTCCTCCATTTGTACCCATAACTCAGATCTATAGACCCTTCAGTTTGCAGAGCACATGCCCATGCATTCTCACTAGTCCTCACGACACACCTGGGGAAAGTTCATTTTTCAGACATTTTGTAGAAGAGGAAACTGACTATGCAATCTACCAGGATGTTTGTCTTGGGCATCCTGGTTTTGCAAATTAGAAGGTGAAGTAATTTGATATTTGCATAAAATCCTACCTCCAAGATGCTTCAGAAATGCTTTAGAACTATGACTAAATCATGATGTAATGAAAAACAGTGAAGAGAAATGACTGTTTCATGTTAAACTTGGCAGAGCCCCCACATGCACCACAGCATAAAAGGTTGACAGAGCAAAAACACTTATGTACACACACAGAGAAAGAGAAAAGACTCCTAAGGTAAGAGTCAGCTCCAAATCTCTAACCAAACTCAAATTTCCAAGTTCCCAACACAGTCTCATTATACCCAAAGAATACCCATTTGTAGCTTTAAAGGTTCATGGCTGGCACCTGGGAGGCTTCCTAGGCAGAAATCAACTGTGCCCCCTCCCCACCCACCCACCCCCCAATGTCCTCTTTTTCAGAACGTGATGCCTTTGACACCTTGTTCGACCACGCCCCGGACAAGCTCAATGTAGTAAAGAAGGTAGGGAAGAGGTACTGGGGAGGGAGCAAGGGAGAAGGGGGAGGTGGAGTAGAGCATTCAGGAAACCCTCTTCTGCAGTTTTTGGGCTCCCTGCCAAATCTGGTGTAATCACCAAATCTTTGCAAAAACCAGGTTTTCCCTCTTGATGTCCAATTTACCTGGCCTGCTCTTACTGAATCTCTATCCCTTTCTTCTTATAGAGGGATGGCAACATCTCTAAGGAGTTCTGAGGCTGTGAGCATCCTTTCTTAACACCTGCACTGAAACCCCTGTCCATCCCTGCCTCCTCACACAGACCCATCTCTGTCCCCCTGGACATGGGTACCTCTAACTAGGAAAGGACTGGGAGGGGGACCCAGTGGGGTCACATCTTCTCTCACCCCTCCCTAATTTCCCTTCAATGCCCTGACCCTAGACTAGGACATTCCACCCATCATCCTGCATTCTCAGGGCTGCTTGCTATTTTCATACCTGCACCTGCCCATTCAGATCACACAGTATGTGGGACCACAGAGCCTTTCCTTTCCCATGAGCTCAAGGGGTTTGCAAGAAGAGCCTCGGGGGCTACTCATCCTCACTGCACTCAGCACAGCAATCCTGGGCCCAGCCCTTGGCTGGACCTTGTCCTCAGCCTGGAGTCAGAGAGGCAGCCTCCAGGCACTGGCAAGAGGCTCCAGCTCAATGCCTGGCTTGCGCTTCTCTTTTAGACACTCATCACTTTTGTGAACAAGCACCTGAATAAACTGAACCTGGAGGTCACGGAACTGGAAACCCAGGTGAGTGACAGCCCCGAGTGCAGGGTGGGGACCCAAGGCCCTTCTCTGCCTCCATTCCATGTGCCCATCCCTACAGTTATGGCTTTCCGCAAGGACGCTGAAGCTTGAACAGGGGGGAGGGGGATTTTTTCTGTTCAGAGCAGTGAACTGGATGGAACCTCTTTGAATTTTTATTCAATTTTCTTATTTTGAAAATTTGCAAAAATTTTATCATGATTATGCACATACTCTTCACCGACATATACCAATTATTAAAATTTGGCCATATTTGAACCTTGTTTCTCTTTCTCTCTACCCCTAGATGCTTCCACATACCTCTTATGAACAAATACATTTTCTTAAATCCATAATCAAAATCGACAACATCACTACAGTATATTCTTCTAGAGGTTGAACCATATGAAATTGCTGACTTCTTGTGACTTCTTTAGATTAACAAAAATGGCAATGTCATATGGTTCAAAGAAATATTCTATATCCAGATTTTGCCAGTTCTAATATTCTCACATGCAGCATTTGATTGTCATCTCTTTAGTCTCTTAATACAGAACAAATCCCCAGCCCTTCTTCACATGACATTGACATGTTTGAAGAGTACAGGCCAATTGGTTTGTAGAATGTCCTCAGTTTTTCCCCTCATGGGTAGAGTCAAGTTATATATTTTCATTAACAGCACTCCCTAAGTAATGCTATGTTTTTCTCAGTTGCTTTTGCAATAGACCAGTTACTGATGATAACTTTGATCCGCTGATTCATTTGGTGACCATCAGATTTCCCTACTGTAAAGCACCTTCTCCCTCCCATTTATAATTAATAACTAATCTTTATTAGGGGGATACTTTCAGACTATAGAGTATATACTGTTTCCCAGCCTCCTCTGATGAGGAATTTTTTTTTTTTTTTTTTTTAATAAATTTTATTGTTATATTCCCCATACAATTGCAGCCCCCCCATTCTGACCCCAATCCCTCCCCTCCCACCCCCGCCCCCCTAAAAGTGTCTCTGGTTCATAGTTTTTTGTTGATTTTGATTTTCACTTTCTTATAGTTATTCATTTTCCTGGTCCCTTATTTAAGTTTTCTAGATTCCTGCTATGAGTGAGACCATCCGGTATTTTTCTTTTTCTTTTTGGCTTATTTCGCTGAGCATGATCCCTTCCAGCGCCATCCATGTTGCTGCAAATTGCATGTGTTTATCTTTTTTGAATGCTGAGTAATATTCCATGGTATATATGTACCACATCTTCTTGATCCAGTCATCTATTTTTGGGCATTTGGGTTGTTTCCAAAGCTTAGCTATTGTAAACAGTGCTGCTATAAACATAGGGGTGCAGGTGCTCTTTGGAATGGATGTTTCTGTGTCCTTTGGGTAAATACCTAGGAGTGGAATTGCTGGATCATATGGAAGCTCTATGTTTAGTAGGTCCAGAAATCTCCATACAGCTTTCCACAGTGGTTGGACCAGTTTGCACTCCCACCAACAGTGCAGAAGAGTTCCTTTTTCTCCACACCCTCGCCAACATTTGTTGTTGCTAGTTTTTTTAATATGTGCCATTCTCACTGGTGTAAGATGGTATCTCATGGTAGTTTTGATTTGCATTTCCCTGATGACAAGTGATGTTGAACATTTTTTCATATGCCTGTTGGCCATTTGCATTTCCTCTTCAGAGAAGTTTCTTTTAAGCTCTTCTGCCCATTTTTTGACTGGATTATTTTCTTTGTTGTTGTTGAGTCTCATCAGCTCTTTGCAGATTTTTGTGATCAGTCCTTTATCATTAGTGTTGGGTGCAAAAATGTTCTCCCAGTAGGTGGGGTTTCTCTTTGTTTTTGTTATTGTCTCTTTTGCTGTACAGAAGCTCTTTAATTTGATGTAGTCCCAGCTGTTTATCTTTGCCTTCACTATCACTGCTTTGGGTGATGTGTCTGTAAAGATGTCTTTGATGTGCAAATCACGTAGTGTTTCGCCTATATTTCCTTCTATATATTTTATGGTTTCAGGTCTTATGTCTAGTTCTTTAATCCATTTTGAGTTGATTTTTGTGTATGGTGTGAGGTGGTGGTCAAGCTTCATTCTTTTGCATGTAGCGACCCAGTTTTCCCAGCACCATTTATTGAACAAACTTTCTTTGCTCCAATGCATATTCTTTGCTCCTTTGTCAAAGATTAGTTGACCATAAATCTGTGGGTTTATTTCTGGATTTTCTATTCGATTCCATTGGTCTGTATGTCTGTTCTTGTTCCAATACCATGCAGTTTTGATGATTATGGCTTTGTAGTATAGTTTGAAGTCTGGGAGTCTGATGCCTCCATTCCCTTCTTTTTTTTTCAGGAGAGCTTTGGCTATTCGGGGTTTTTGGTGATTCCATATGAATTTCATCAATAATTGTTCTATTTCTTTGAAGAATGACATTGAAATTTTGATTGGAATAGCATTGAATCTGTATATTGCTTTTGGTAGGATGGCCATTTTAATAATGTTTATTCTTCCAATCCATGAGCAGGGGACGTCTCTCCATTTCTTTGTGTCTTCTTCTATTTCTTTTAACAGTGTTTTATAGTTTTCTTTGTATAGGTCCTTTACCTCTTTTGTTAGATTTATTCCCAAATATTTGATTTTTTTTGTTTCAATAACAAAAGGGATGGTCTTTTTGATTTCTTCTTCTTCAGATTTATTGTTTGTGTATAGGAAGGCTACTGACTTTTGCGTGTTGATTTTGTATCCTGCCACTTTACTGAACTGATTGATGAGTTGAATTAGCTTTTCTGTGGAGTTTTTGGGGTTCTCTATGTATAATATCATATCGTCTGCAAATAGTGATAGTTTCACTTCTTCTTTTCCTATTTGGATTCCTTGGATGTCTTTCTCTTGTCTTATTGCCCTGGCTAGGACTTCCAGTATTATATTGAAAAGCAATGGTGAGAGTGGACATCCTTGTCTTGTTCCAGATCTTAATGGAATTGCTTTCAGCTTTTGATGAGGAATTTTTAAATGTGGTTTTCTTTTGAGCCCATGGGCAGCTGCCATTATTGTTAAAGGCAGTTCCTGGGTCTGTGACTGAGCACGACCCCAGGGTGTCTGGACTCTGCAGAATGAGCTTCATATACTCTTTGGGGAGATAGGGAATACTCGGGAAGAGTGGTGTTTCCTCAACTGGGTTAGAATGAGCTCTGGAGCTCGCATTTCTGTTGTCCTGGGCATGGAGTGCTACAAACAGGCTTCTCTGCCCAGCGCATCTGGTGCCTGTCTGTGGTCTTCATGACAAGCCGTCACAACCAGCAAATCGGGAAGGTAGGAGTAGCCCAAATGGCTGCACTCAGAACTGGGTAACCAGAACTCCAGCCCAAAATCCTCCACTGAGTTGACAGATTAGATTCTTTATCCTCAGCCCATCCCAGCTATGGCCAGAATGAGGCCCACTTAGCTAGTTCCCACAAGGAAAGCCTTGGTTTTTGACACAGATGCTGGGGCCTGCTCTCCTGTTGTCCACTCTGGGGTGGCCTGGGATGAACCATGTTCAAGCCTTATCAACTCAAGTTAAATGTGGTGTAGATGGAAGCAGGGAGGGAGCTGCTCCTAGGTCAAGTCCATGCTCAAGGTCATGTGCCTATAACAAAGGCAAACCGCAACCCCAGCCAGTCACCCAGCAAAGCTCAGTTCCTGGGCCCAGCCCACATTCCAGGAAATTCAGTCTAGTTTTTGTTAAGCATCCTAAGATGATTCCCAGATACTTGGCATCTTGCAAACTCTAGCAACTGTTTATGCCCACAAGCATTTGACAGCCCCACCTCCTTTGGAAGGTTCCAGAGTATCAGATATGCCTCTGACTCTATAATTTTTCTCATGTCATCTTCCATACCTAGAACATGTATTCCTTCCAAATTTTACTCACCACAGTGCCCCACTGTCTCTAGAAAGCCTTCCCTGAGAACCCAGCACACCCTCATCCAACCCTCCCTTGAAAAGAAGCTCTGCAGCCATCAGCTCAGCCTAGGAGTCTGGTGTCCCTTGGACTGGCTCCTAAATGCTCTGGCATCTACTTTCTTGATGGAAGGGATGGGGCTTTAAGCTGTTTGCCATGTCCCTTGGGACAAAGTGACATGGAAACTGACAAGCCCTTTAGGGCTTGGCTGGGGAGTCTCTGGGTCCTGTGCCTTCACCTGCCTCTCTCCCTCCAGTTTGCAGATGGTGTATACTTGGTGCTGCTCATGGGGCTCCTGGAGGGCTACTTTGTGCCCCTGCACAGCTTCTTTCTGACCCCAGACAGCTTTGAACAGAAGGTAAGGGAAGATGACATCAAGGGCAGTTCCTAGCTCACATCCTGTCTGTCTAGGTCTCTAGTGGTTAGAGATATGGCTCATTCTGATGAGCAGCTGAGCTGAGAAGGAGGTACCTGCAGACCACTGAGCATCCCAAATAGCTCCCCACTCCCCTTCAGGCTGTCCTGATCTGTAGCCATATGCTCTTGATACCTGCCACAGTCAGGCTTTGTATCTGCCCAGAGGTGACAAGGAAGGCAACCACTACAAGCAGGCCAGACCCGAGACCCGCTCTCAGCCTCATCCTCAGGCCTCTCCTGGGCTACCACAGCTTGCCCTCTTGGCCATTGGGCCCAGAGCAGAAACCCTCCTCTGCCTCTTAAACATGCCTTGTCATCTGATCCTTTCAACCACATACATGCATATCCCTGACTTTCAAGTCCTTGCAGTGAACAACAAAACAGAAAGATGGTTTTGAACTTCTCTGAGAGTGTTTCACCAACAGCAGGCCTGGATCACCCAACTCTCATTGAATATGAGTTACCCATTTTTGTAACCTCATTTCTCCTTCAAATTAGGGCCTCATGTTAGCTGAGCCTCTGCTCCCCTGGCTACAGTTCTAACTCCTTCACCTCCCAGGGGCAGGTCCCAGCAAGTCCCAAGGTCCAGCCACGAGTGTGCCATGATTTGCCCTGCATTTCTCTCCCCAGGTTTTAAATGTCTCCTTTGCCTTTGAGCTCATGCAAGATGGAGGGCTGGAAAAGCCAAAACCACGGCCAGAAGGTACCTTGCTCTTCCCTGGGTTTGTGGCAAGACAACAAGACTCCCACCCCGCACACAAGTGTGCAGGGCACTGGGCAAGGCTCACATTTTATACCAGAGCGAAGAGTCTTTTATGAAACCTCCTTTGCCATGTGCGGGGGATGGGAGGGTAGGGCGCTACTATTCAGTGTGGAGATCCTTTGTGAGAAAAAGGATCTGAAATCCCACCCCTGGGATTAAGGGGGCGGGTGCCGAGCAGACATGGCGCAGAGCACAGGCGCTGCTGCAGTACTGCCCCTTGCCCATCTCCAGGTTCTTCTGTCCCTGGGCAGGGTGATCTGCCAAAAAGCTGTGCCCCAGCCAGGTGGGATGCGGTGTAGGAGGCAGCACAGGCAGCTCTGCCCTCAGCACAGCTGCCTTTACCATCCTCAGTCCACTCCAACTCTGCCCAATGACCAGGCTTGATTTGTGGAGTTTGGGTTGCAAATTTAAGACTGGGTGTGGTGGGGGGCGGTGTGAGGCAGGGAGGAGAATGCAAACAGTACAAAATGCTCTGGTGGCCTCTTGTGCTCAGGGTTGGAGCATATGTGCACTTGTGCATGTAGGAGGCACGATTCTCCTGGCAGAATTCTTAGTCCGGACATTTCTTTCTCTGCCATTTACTAATTGAAACACTCATTTTACTGGCACTAGTGAGTCAACACCATGTTGCAGATATTTTCTGTCTATATCTAGTTGGGAAATTGAGAATATTTTTCATGAACCCCGATACTTGTACTTCCAAGTTGTTTAAAAGCAAGTGGCCTAGTAGGGTGTATGTGCGCGCCTCCCCAATCCCCTCTCCCCACACAGCCCCCTCCCCACCACCTTCTTTGCTGCCTCTGCTCCACTTGCATCCACTCAGACCTCAACAATGACCTCCCCGTTCCCCAGGTGGGCCTTTCGCTCACACTGGTTGTGTCTGTTGCTCCCTCCCCTATCACCTCAATTCTCACTTCTGTTTAGGATGAGGGATAGTTTGATGGAGGTGGAAACAGCGGGGCTAAAACCATAAGGATTATGTAGAGAGATGAAGCTGAACCCTGACAGACCTGGGTTCAGTCTCCCACGCCCCCACTAGCTATGTGACTTCAGGCAACTTGCCCTTTTTGACCCTGTTTTTCATGTCTATGAAAACAGAACTCCTAGCGACATGACAGTATTAAATGTGATGTCTGGTGCACAGCAGCTGGCACCTAGTGAGGACTCTAAGCAGTTACCTACTTCACTGGGATATTAAGAGTATGAATTGAATGGTTTAAAAGGCTGAAGCAAGCTGGTATTAGGTCCTGCGGGGATTTGATGACAAGGCAGAAAGTTGGACTTTATTCTGTAGGAGTGGGAATCATGGAAGGTTTTTGAGTAGGTTAGTGATGTGATCAGACTTCTGTTCCAGTGTGAAGAACAGATGTTCTGATGTGGGGCATCATTAGCAGCACTGGGTAACCCAGAAGGAAAAGCAAGCAGACAGGATGTCAATTTCAGTAACCCTGAGGTTGATACCTAGGCACTGACCAAACAGAACTGGGGTTCAGGGAAGAGGCCAGGGCTGTGGTTATATAACTGGGAGTCTTCCACCTATGACAGCTGATGTGCCAAGAGGATGGAACAACAGGCATGCATGTGGGGAAAAGTGTTGAGGATAGTATCTTGGGCAAAATGCCTCTACTTATGAAGTCAGAGGAGAAAGCAGGAAATCAGAGGAGAGAGGCAGAGTATGAACACATTGGTTGGGTCTGTGTCTCATGACTCATTCCCCACCTCAGTAATCATCACCTCTAGTGAACAAAAGCCAATCCTTTATTCTCATTTGTTACTGCCTGGTCCTAAATCCCTGGTCTCATCTAAAGCAGGACCTCCAGCAAGGTTGGTGTCCCCCAAGGGACGTCTCTCTAACAAGGCCTCTCCAGCCATCCCAAAGTCATTAGGAGTGGGCCCTGAGCATTCCTTGGCCAAAAACAAACAGCAAGTCCCCTGCTTCCGGAGAGACCTAGCAGGAGAGTTCTGCCCTGCTTTCTGCTCCCATTCCCTTGAACTACTTAATGTGAAACTTCCTGGTTCCAGATTGGAAGCACTCCCTCTGCTACTTCAATGCTCAGGCATTTATTTCCCTCTGGACAGACAGTTTTCCCAATGTCAAACTATATGGATATTTCAGCATATAGATGACTTTTCTTGTGCAATTATTGAACTGCTTAATAGAAAACTTCCTGACCAGTGTGAATGGAAAAACACATCTGTTTTATTTGTTGTTACACTGGGCACCATGCCCATGCTGTAAATTTCCAGTGTGTAAAGGAGAATTGCAATGATATTTTGTGAAATTGTTCTCTGTGAGAGGTGTGTACCCCAGCACTCCTTTTGGTTTCTTTGCTTCTACCTGGAAAGTGAAATTCAGTCATAAATGCTGCAGACTTTTCAAAGAATGCCCGTGTGGGTAATTCTTTGAGGGTGTTTCAAAATCAAATTGGCTGGTAGAGGCATTTTTTCAGGCAAAATGCATTCTCTGCAGTGCTGTTTGATATTCAAAGCTCTGTTTTCCCTTGAAATCCTTTGAAAACTTTGGGTTTGTATCTCAAATAACTTTTGCTTCCCAGGCTTCATAATGTGTTAGCACCCCTGCTGGTACAAGCCAAGTGTTAGCATCAAGTTCATGGCCGATGGGGCAGTTGAAATATTGGCACGAAGCTGGTGCCTTTCTGTTTTAGGACATCAGACCATGCATCTTCAAATGCCTGTGCCTACCCTGTTAGCATAGTTCATGTAGAATCATAATCAAATATGGTTAAGACGCCAGCAGAACAGGCAGGTGGTAGACTCAGAAGAAATCTAGTTCCAGACAGGAATGAAACCTATATTTAGGACAGCCAGCAGGTTGATGGAATCTCTAAAATTTAAGAAGTAGCTAAGATTAGACTACTTTAAGCAATGCTGAAAATCTGATCAGCTAATGGCAGCTTAGTTCCAGGTGATCAATATTTAGTCAGTAGCTGGAAGTATGCAAAATGGTACAACTTCCCTTTTCCATTACCTTAAAAGATAGTGCACCAACCAGACATGGCAAAAATTTGAAACTCTGCTAATATCAAATGTTAGCAAGGAGCAACAGAAATTGCTGGTATGACTGTAAATTTGTACACCTGCTTTGAGAAAACAGTCATATCTAATATGGTTGAAGATTTTTAATACCTTATGTGGTAGGCAGAATGATGGCCTCCTCAAATTGCCCATGTCCTAATCCCCAGAACCCATTAAGTTGAGGATCTTGAGATGGGGCAATTATCCTGGATTATGTGGGTGGTCCCAAAATAATTGCAGGGGTCCTTATAAGTGAAAAAAAGGAAGCAGGAGAATCAGAATGTCAGAATGAATACAACATGAGAAAGACTCAGCCTGCTCCTGCTGGCTTTGATGATGAAAGGGGTCTATGAGCCAAAGAATACAGGCAGTCCCTGAAAGGTAGAAAATGCGGGCAGCCCCTCAAAGCTAGATAAAATACAAGAAAACAGAGTGTCTTGTAGAGTCTCCAGAAGAAATTACAGCCTTACCAATACTTTGATTATATCCCCATGAGGCCTATTTTGGACTTTGACCTTTTAAACTAAGATAATTTAGGTTGTTTTAAGTTCATCAAAACTTTGGTAATTTGTCCTAGGGCCCAGCAATTCCACTCAGAGGTATGCATGTCCTTATACCGGGAGACTAGTCCAAGAATAACCCAAACTGGAGTATACCCCAATAGACTAAATTGAAATTTATATAATGATCATAGTAAAACCAAAAAAGATATATAAGGATCACAGTAAAACCAAAAAAGAATGAAGTGAGAAATCAGGGAGGGACTTCTAATCATTATAGCAAAGAAGTCACTGGATTATTCTCAGCAAGAAAGCATGTATAAAACTGGATAAAATGATCATCACCACCAGACCCTGAATTTTTACTCAGTGGTAGATGAAAAATTAAGCATTATCCTTGAAAAAATAAAGAATTCTAGCTGGATGATTATAATCATTCTTCAATAGCAATAAATTATAGCCTAATACTATTTTTAAAGAAAAATAACATCTCAGACAACATGGTTAAATCATGTAAACATAATATTGAATAAAAAATACTCACAAGAGAATTGTGATTCCATTATATATAGTATGAAAGCAGACAAAATTAAAATCTGTTGTTTAAGGGTGGAACTGTGAAGAAAAGTACAGAGGTAATCACCCTAAAAGTCAGGATAGTGGTTATTTTTGCAGAGAACGGGGATGCTTTTAGGATTCTGCAGTGTTCTAGATCTGACATAGGTGGTGGTTACATGGAGTGTTCTTTCAACTCTTTAAACGTATACATATATGTAGATAGACTTCTCTGAATGTTTGCCATATTAAAATTTTTAATATGTAAAGAATAACAAAGTCACCTGATAGGTTATCAAGCCACCCCTAAAATGTCCCATCGCAAAAGCATGGATCCTGTCCCGGTGGGTAATAAGAAACAGACAGGACAGCAAGGCAGAGGTTGAGAATGATCTCCGCAGAAGTAGGATGGAGGCTGATCTGTGATGGACACCTTGGGGCTGGGCTCACCCACGTACACAGCTTATTATACCCTAATGTAGTCTAACCCCTCCAGCTAGTGGTTTTGGTCAAGAGACTCAAGGACAAAGGGGTAAGCTTCTCAGCAGAGACCTCAGCCACTGCTGAGACCAGGCTGTGGAAGCCCGAGTAACAACAGTGTGATCACACAAGGGCCTGTCCCTCTCCATAAAGACTGGATTTCTGCTGTTAAGAGAGTTCCTCCTTTGATCTCTGCATCATCTAGAGAAGCATGGACTTATTTTGGGGTGGCTCTCTGCTGGATGGGAAGAGCTGCTAGTGCCCCCAACGAGAGGAGCAAACATTGAGCCTTGTCCCTTGGTCAGAGGCTGTTGTCTCCCTAGAGTGACCTCATGTCTGATTCAGCTCTTCCTTGGCCCCAGGTAGCCA